CTGAAAGTTTAGAAACTTTGATCCGTCTCAGACTTGTTGCCTGTTTGGAGGAGACTGCTTTCCTGGAGGCAGTAGATGGAAAACCTGTCTCTGGAATAGTAAGTACTCCGCTTTTTTTTAGCTCTGAAACATTTCTGCTTTGGCTTAACAGCTCTGTGGCAGTCCAAGGGTTTGAAAGCTGGATGAAAAAGGCAGCGTTTGGAGCTTTTTCTCAGAGTAGTTTATTGTCAATCGTAACTAAAACAAATAAATTGTCGATCACTATTTGTTCTAGCTTTCCATGCCCTAGAGGTAGTCCTGTCAGAAGAGTGTCATGAGGCCAAGGCTCTTCCAAAGGCAAGTTCCGTCCCAGAGAACGGCTTGATTTGATTGCCCTTTCCATCTTCTTGATACCGCAGACTTACCTTGATCAGATGACAGAATGAAGGTGGGGTTGTATTTTTGCATTTCCAGAAGTAAAAAATGTAGAGGTGCTCTCTTCTATGGACTAGGGCTTAGAATTTGTTCTCCTAACTCATTTACAAGTATTTGTATGTCACTTGTCCCATCCTCTTGCTGTTATCTGAGATCATGGAGCAAAAGTAGGAAAGTGCCTCTGGGGATGTGTCCATCTTACCCATCTGCTGAAACAGAGATCGACTTCCTGGGCTTAATTAAAACCACAGTGAAGTGGATTTTGCTGCTGGTGACCTATGTTCTACCTTGCATTTTGCTTGGAAACAGCTTCGGGCTTCTCAAAACAACAGCTGTTTTGAACAATTGAAGCACAAAAGAATTTGATTCTTGGCTGTGGTAGAACAAGCTGTTGGTGTTGCAAAGTGAAATGAACACGCGTTCCCTTCCCCAAGCAGTGTTGTGAACTATTACATCTTCAGTGAAAAGCCTACATTTAAAAGTTGACCCGGACATGCCAGAGTAGGAGTTGGAAGTCCCAGCGTATTCCCGTAGGAGCTGACATCAATAACATGTGGCTATTGTGGCAATGTCTGGCACAGACTGGAACAGGACAGCTCCAGGGTAGGTGTGTGGTTGATATGACACCTTAAAATGCTGCGTCTGCACACAGACACATCTAAGGAGTGATTGTAGACAAACAACTACTTAAATATGAAAAGAAAGGAGTGAAATGCGCTCCTGGGATTGTTATTTAGGGGAGCTTTCACATGCAGTGGAAGCTAATGTACAGTGAAGGTGTTTCTGTGTGATGAGTGTGTGGCAGTGTACTGGACATGGAAAAATGTACATGAATTGCTTAAACCAATGTGTCTCCTATCGTACGTGTGGAATGGATTCCTAAAACTTAATGAACAAGGAGTTCTGAAGGTGGTTTTCTTCTCATCCAGATTTGCAAAGCATACTCTCAAGCCAGTTCAGAACTTGTACAAATGTTGCCTTTTCTGGACTAAGTCTGGTTATGGTGTTGAAAAACAGTCAGAGGGGAAAAATGATCTTATTTTCCACACGTACAGGTTTGTGTAAATGGCTGGGTTGTTAACAGCTGACCCATTAACTTACAACTATCTTTGTTACCACTGCACTGCTGTGCCTCAGGCATTGCTTGAGTTCACTGGAGGGAAGATTTCTCTGCCAAAGGATTCATAGGATGTTCAAGAACAGGAGCTTTTTAGTTCAACTACGGGATCTGTATCTGGGTCCATAAATGATGGTCTTGCTCTCCAGAGCACAGACCAGCTCCTCACCGTCTCTGCAAGATCTGGTAAGTCCTTGATGCGTACAAGTCATTGAACTGCATGTGCAGTCGTCATGCTCCAGGGTAACAGGGTGCTGACTGGGCAACCTGCTGAGCCTGCTCGAGCAGGGAAGTTGGACTAGATGACCTCAGGAGGTGTCCTGAGCCTGAGTGGTTCTGTCACTGAAGATCTTAACCACGAGTCCTCCTGCCATGACATGTGGAACAAGGGCAAGTAGAGTAAGATCTGGGAATCTTCTGTGGGTCTTCTGAATCATCTGTGTTGATGGACTTTAGGCTCCCTTTTATGGGGCCCAGTAATAAACTGATGCCATCCATTTTATTACCCTCAGCATTAGTTTTATCTACATGAGACACAGGTATTTATGATGTTTCTACGTAGCATCTGTAATCTTCCACCTGCATTAAAGGCCAGGTAATGCACTTTTAGGGCACATTGAGTCACATTGCATTTTTGCAGCTGAGGAAACTGTTGCTTGCTTACTTGGGAATGCACTTGCTGACTCCTGGTTTCATTTTGTGTCTCCTGTGATTATTCCACAGTCTTACAGGTCTTAAGGCTAGAAGGCACCATTTTTAATAAATCTGGTCAGAGCTGTTTGTACTGTTCAGCCTGGTGTGTCTCCTGATCACTTCAGCAAACCACGCAGCAACAGTTTATTGGGATTTAACTTGTAGTAGGGTACTTACCCCACAACCTAACATATCTAGCGTTCCTTATAGATTGAATGGTCCTGCGTGTGGCCACTGAATGGTCACAAACAATAATAAACTCCTTACCCTTACGCCCTTTTTGTGTGAGACAGGCTGGCTCCTTTTCATGCATACCAAGGCTGAGGGTGGCGTGAACCTGCGGGAATCTGGATGATGAGCTAGTGAGCACGGTGGTGAATCTTGTGCACAAAAGATTGGTTTTTTTAATTTTAAGATTTAAGTTTCCCTTCATTTAAAAAAAGTCTGTTGTAGGTAGAAGCATGCATGTTAGAAGTTGTTCTTGATTAGGGCATGTAAATAGAAGAGAAATTCTTCACTATGCCTGGGTTTAGATTAAAAAATTTTTGTAGATTATTGCAAGGCTCAGGACTCTGTCCCACTTGTTCCTCAGCATATGGTGAGGCAGCAGGATGTTTCCTGCTCTCTGGCCATATGGATCACATCTCCCTGGTCACCGTTCCAGCGCTCGGCTGTGGTAGCGTCTCTGCAGAAAGCACCACAGAGGATAAGGAAGTATCTATTTATTCAAGAAGTTATGTAATCTTGGAAAATACGGGTCACATGGCAATTCTTTTCTGTCTGCTCTTCCCCGCTGCTGTCCTGTTTCTCTTCACTGGTAAGAAGGAGGGTTAGGCAGCTTTCTTCAGCTGACAAGTGAGCGCTAAGTGTTTTTTAGCGAGAGGGTACTCAGGTGATTTCTGACCGAACACCGTGCACAGTAAGCAGACTGCACTCAGCTGTTCCCGCAACGCAACAAGGCCTGTTGAGGCACTGGGACTTCAGCCATTCTGCCTTATCTGTGCTTAAACACAGCGCGGTCCCTGGGGGAAAGGGAGGCCCTCGGGTTTCTCCTCCCTGGATGGTAAATACTGGGTATTTTGTGACATGGGTATGTATTACTGTGTTACTCTTTCATACCCTTGATGATCTGAGGGAGAGAGGTGAAGCTATGATAAAGTCGCCTGCCCGGCTGCGGTCCTGGGATAATTGCTTCAGAAGTCTTTGACATGCACAGGGAGTGCTGAAGAGGTTCTTCTGTAGATGCCTCCTGGGAATTGCCTTTGATGGAAACTTGTTAGTACTAGCTCTGAATTTATGCTGGCGTTGGCTATAAGGAATTTTGGTGTCTGACATGCTTTTGTGGGAGCCCTTTAGCCAGGGTGTTCTATAAAGAAATTGTAACATAGCATCCTCTGTCAGTTTTGGCATCTCTCATGTCATGTTTTCCTCTCCAGATGAGTGCTTTGGTCAGCTTTTGTATGGCATCTTCTCTGCTCTGGGAGCTGCGGGACTGGCAGTCTGAGGTGCCTCAGTTCTGCTGCTCTCCAGAAACTTGTGTGCTCTTGGGTGTCAGAAAAGGGGGACGACTGCCTCATCTGGCTAGACAGAAAGGAGAGCAATAAATAGCGCAGAGCAAATGGAGGATCTGAAAGGCTAGTGGTGTACAAAATGGGGAAATTAAAACAGGGAGGGGGGAAATGCTGTGCATGCACAGAACGGAAGAAACTGTGCTCGTGATGGCTTAAGCATGACAAGTCACTCCTGGGTGCAGAAGTGAGAAGTACTGCAGAACTGCTCTGCTCTGGCTTTGGCACCCGATACACCACTTGCATGTCCTTCTTTTTTGTGCCCAGTGGGAAGAGCTGGCTGGAGGTGGGTGCTATTCTGTTGGAGCTGGGGCAGTAATGTGAAAAAGGGGGAAGTTTTGTGACACTTGGAGATGAACAGGCAAACTTTGAACTACTGAAGAGATCCTAATCGCCTTGTAATTGGTACCACCTTTGTCCCCGTTCAAGTTCACTGTCCGCTGATGTAGCATCTCACCTTTATGAGTACCGACTGTAATGTTTATTGGTGTTTGCTAGCAGTAAAAAAACCCAAACAACTTGTGGTTGACATGTCTGTTCCTGGCCTTCTGCTTCTGGTCAGTGGGTAGGCGGCTATGGGCCAAGCGAGCTGTGCTTTGTTCCCTGAACTCCACTTTTGATTTGCTCAGCTTATAATAGTCCCTCTGGCTGGGGGTTGTTAAAGACGGCCAAGGGTGGAATATGTTCAGATACTTTGAAAGTATCCCACTGGGGACTTGGGGTTAATTTGGACTCACTTGGTTTGAAGATACTCATGTTTTATCAGGATGTAGCAGGTTATTGCTGGGGTACTAGAATACTTCAGTTCATGTCATTTCTGACATCTGTTTCTCCAAAACTTGTTTGCTGTGTCCTGCTTGGCTGTCCTTTGTGTGGATAAGAGCCATGCACCAACCATCCTCAGCCTTGTCACAGCTTTCGGCATCTGCCCATCACCCCAAAATAACTCCCTTGAGCCACCCTTCTATGACAGGTGTGCACTCAGCAGTGTCTGCAGAACAGACGAGCTCGAGGCTCCTGGTGCTCGCAGGAGCTGGCAGGTCCAATTCCAGCATCATTTCTGGTATCATGCCCTTTCTACCATTTTGCATTTGTCAGGGCAAGGACTGTGCTACATTTGCAACAGCATGAAAATGATCTAGTCAGATGTACACACTGTTGCGTTTTGAGCCCAAAAGCCAATTGAGCACCTTCAGAAACGTTTTCACTTTTAGCACCAGAGACGGTAAGGAGGAGCTTGTTGCTGCTGTGCTGAAAAAATGTGTTACTTGTCTTGTGTCCTGCCAAGAGTGGGGTGGCCTGCAGAGCATATGTGGTGACCCCAAGATTTGGCCCAACAGTTGGAGGTATGGATCAGTCTCCAAGATTGCAGTTCTTCTTTCAAAGGAAAACTTAATTTCACTGGTCTGTGTGGGAATGTGTCCAGGATTCTCTTGTAGATGAAGGGAGTTTCTACTCATTCCTGTGCTGATGTAGTCCCCCGTGCGTTGCTGGCCTAGAGCTTGTGAGAAAAAGAGACAAACCAAGGAGCGATGGCATTGGTTCTGTCACCTCTTGCTAAAGGTCGATGTGGTCATTGTAGAAGTAGTCTTACCTGCTCTACTGAGGCAAGGATTGAGAGGTGGCCAGCACAAGCAGACGAGCTGTTGTAGGATAGGATAGTTAAGTTGGAAGAGACCTACAGCAATCATCTCATCTAACTGCCAGCTTGTAGCTTGATGGAGTTTGGGACCCTTTGTGAGACAGCAGAGGATCACTCTTGGATCTCGATGCAAAGCTTTGTGTGCGTTCCAGGTTCGTGAACCTGGGCTGTAAGTGTCAGACTTCTCTAGCAGAAATGAGGATACAGCCAGGAAAACTTTGGCAAGGACTCCTCAGTTTTCCCATGCTTCTCAGGAGTGTCCTTCATTTATTGCTTTTCCATCTCCTATAGTTTTGGTATGGCTGAGCAAAAAGCTTGTCTGGAGAGGAGTCTGTTTGTTGCTAACCATTATTTTCTCCATCTGTACCCATCTCTTGCCAACACTTCTTAGCCTTTCCTCTCACAGTCTTAGGTTTTCTACTCTGCAGGATTGTTTTCTGCTGCCTTACACTTCATTGGGCCTGTTAGTAATGACATGGCCTGGCGTGATGCTCCGCTTCATGAAGTTCAGTATGTTGTCCTGTAAAGAACAGTCTGTCCTTAGTTATTTTTTTTTCTTGTTCAAAGATTTAGATATTTCCTGAGGAGTCTGCAGAAGCTGGAAGATTAGGAATGACGGTCCCCTTCCACGGAAGCAGATCAAGCAGGGTCTCTAACAGAAGGTGACCAGACAAGCTTGCTATGAAAATAAATTCCATCAAAGGGACGTGATTGTAGCCATGCTGAGAGGAAGAGCTCTGGCCCCTCCTCTAGTAATGCGGACTGCGCTAAGTGAATGTGAACAGCTTTTCCTTAGTTGCATAGCTGATTACTCCTTTGGTTCAAAGCAAAGGACAGGACCTCAAGGGTTGAACCAATGCTTTATCAACTTCTTTTAATCTTCATTTTAATTAAAAGTTGATTAACATATATAACTGCGCTGAGCTGCCAAATCATGTGCAACTCCAGGAAGCCTGTGTGAGCCAGCATTTCAACTAGAATCCATAGTCTGAAATTGTCTGATATTGGACCGCCTTTTTTTTTTTTTTTCTCCTTTTTTTTTCCCCCCTGTGTCCATGAGTGCTATGCGGTATTTACATGTGAAGGGTGCACCCTGTCTATTGGGGACAGAGCAGCCCTATAATGAGAGGGACAAACGTGTCTTGGTACAAGTGCGGACTGTGGGAAAGAAATGCAAGGTTATGGTAAGAATAAGATAAGCCAACGGTGGCAGCCAGGAGCCCTGAAGGATAGAGGCTTGCAGCTCAGATAAGTGTGAGAAAACAGCAAAATGATTCCCCTTGGCAGGGCTTTCTTGAGATCTTTGCAGAGACCTGCAGACCCCCCAAGGTTCCGTAGGCACCAAGGAAGGGGCATGTATTCTCAGAGCGTGATTATTTGCCCCAGTCATATTATCTGGCTGTGCTACAGAGAACCTGAACTGAACCCTGGCTTAATCCTTCACCCCCAAATCTCCCAGTGTGGGTGGCATGAGGCTTTGCTCCACTCTCTCCCCGTATCCTGCTTCTAGGGTTTGTCAGGATCAACTTAAGAAAGGGTCTTTCTCCACCTGGGCAAATACCATCAGTCATGGGCATGGCTTATGAACAAGAGAGCATTTTTGGTTTGCCATGTTCTCTGCTGTCACCTTCAGCATCCATGACTGTGCTGTAATGGTTCCAGCCTGGGATCCGTGATGGAAGCGATGACAGAGGATCAGTTCTCCTGTGTGGCTTTCTCCCCTCATGAAAAACTAACAGCCCTGCAGGTTATTTTAAAAAGTCCATTCTTCTGCTTGTATGTGTATGATAGCTGCTGAAGAGCTGGTCTCTACATGCTGCCAGCTTGGCTGCATCTCCCTTCTAATGTCCCTGCTGAGTGCTTCCATCTCTGCATGTCACGGTCTGCCCAGACATCGTCCCCTTTCAAAGCCGAACACAAAATGTTGTCTGTAGCCCTGCTCAGCTCTTTCTTTTGCCCATCATTCTCCAATCCCTGCACTCCACCCTCTGGCATCTCAGGCTGGACATCCTCCAGAGTACCTGCCTTCTTCCTTCAAAAGCTTCTGAAACCCATCTGTGTAAAAAGCTCAGCTGTATCCCTTCTGCTTACAGGTGGAGAGGGAGAATGTGCCCTCTGTCACATGGTGTGTTTTTCTGCTTGACTCCACTGATCTGGCTTGAATCGATTTGCAAGCTTCTCTGGTCATGGACAAAACCCAGGAAATACAAACTAAGGCAGCCTGAGCACCTAACCCTCAAAATGTATCAGAGCTCCTCTCCCGAGCCCTTCCCTTCTCTTTCTTGCTCTTTATCAGCATCCCTTCCCTTTTAGGAAGCCGTAAACTTCTGGGAAAGGGTTTTGGTCGGGACTCTAAGATGGTGACGTGGTACCAGGCTAAGCCATGCAGTTCTGCTGTGACCTTGCAAACATGCCTTAAATTCTTAATATAGCACTAAGAGCTCCTTCTTCAGGAGTTGCACAAGGGAAAAATGGAGGTGTGCAATTAAGAGGTGTGCTGGGCACAGCACAGTCCCTCCTTGTGTGTCTTGAGTTCCAGCCTGGGGTTGCTGAAGCTGCTTGGCTGAGCTACGAGGAGAATTTTGGCATTGGAGAACAGTGTGTATCTGTAAAAGACATTATATTACGTTACTGAAGAATTATTTATTTGTTACCCTTATCTTTAAAGTGTGTCTGTATAGCCTGACCCAGGAGGGCTCTGGCTGCCGTTGCTGGGTACTCCTACAATATGAATAGGTAGAATTGATCTGTCCCTCCCTTTACGCAGCTCTGGAGCTAAGCCTGGGATCCTGGAGGAGACACAGCAAGTCCACCCATTTGGAAAGGAAGCAGTTAAAGTTGTCAAGTTTGCCAGGAAATTGAATAAACTAGAAGCAGTGCTTAAGTCTCACCATGACTAGCTCGGACCATTCAGTGGAGACCGCAGTTAGAGCCAGTGAACAGTGCTGCAGTGTCTCCAGGCTCCCTGCTTCCCCTCCCACCTCCATTTACAGTACTTTAAAGGAGAAAAAAAAAAAAAAAAAAAAAAAAAAAAAAAAAAAAAAAAAAAAAAAAAAAAAAAAAAAAAAAAAAAAAAAAAGATTGGGCTTGAGACCACAAGCTCGGAGCCAGTGTAGTTCAAATAGCCTGCCAGCTGGACTGCTGTAAGTAGAGCACTGATAACTTTTGGTTGCCTTTTCCATTACTTATGTGTTTTATAGGTAGCATTCCTTTATGTCATGCAGGACTGAGATGTACATCATGTGCAAGCAAGAGATCTTTGCCTTTCCAACTTGCTATTTTTAATCTTTTTCCCTTGGATTTCTCTTCATATTAGTTCTTAGTAAATCTTACCAGATCTTTTTCACTTCTTCAGGAGAAGACCTCCTGACCCTGTTCTCGCTACCAGAAGCATTGGTGGAGAGACCCTAGGTAAGAATCACTCTGGCTGTGTTGAGACAGAATCCTGGAGGCTTCTGTGCGAGAGCCAGCCCTGTCAGCTGGGCCACTGCAGCAAGCACCGTCTCTGTTGAACAAGTAACTAGCATAAAGGAGACTGAAGACATGTTTTTTAAGACTCCAGTCCTTTTGGGCAGAGCCAGTGGAATTAGTTTTATTTCTTTCTTTTTGAGAACTGGCATGGGAAAGATGAGGTACTGCTTTGAAGGGAAGAGTTTGCTGCTCTCATGAGCGTTGATTTAGGGCTCCATTGTTAATCCTGTTAGACTTCTGATTTGCAAGGGGCTTCGCTCCCTTGGAACTTGACTTTAAGGAAGCTCTGTCTGAGCACTCTGTTTCAGACCTAACTGATTTGTAAAGTACTTTCTGGGAGCTTGGCAGATCCTTCCCATAGTCTGTCCTGTTTCTGCATTAAAAGGTGTATCTCCCCTATCTCCAGGTGTCTGGAAGGCTGTTTGCCATGGGAAAAACTCTTGTGATTTACTGTGGAGTGGCGGGATTCTGGATTAACAGGGCAGAAGCAGAAGATTGGGAAACTGGTGGTGGTGATGTATAATGGCAGTCGTTATCTTACGGCTGAGCCCTGCTTTAGAAGGCTGCTTTGTGTTTGGCGTCTCACCAGGTCCAGCTCACTTACCCGTTGTTTCTGTTGTGCACTGGCATAAGATACCTGTCTTTCCTCCCCTTCTCTGTGCCCAGGAGTTGCAAACGTGGCTTCCTTGTATGTGTGAGATGAGGCAGCACTGGTTAAATGTTGGAGGGTGAAAGTTAAGTCCTAATGCTGAACCTGAGCTAACAGTTTGATGTCATATCCTGCTCCCAGCTGCGTATCTCCCTAAACCGGCTTGGTTTGCTGAGCTGTCAAGGTGGCATTGCGGCAGAGGGATAGAAATCTCTGTCTGAACAGAGCCTACCTGCGTGCTGAGGTCAGTCCTGCTCCAAGATGGTGGCTTAAAGTACGAGAAGTACTGTGTGTAGCTCTGAGTCTTGCTGTTTTCCTTGAGAATTTGTGGGATCATGAAATGGAGGCTGTGGCTCCCCTGACCTGGGGTGACAGCACCTAGAAGGAAAGAAACAAGCCCTGGAGAGAATTTCCTCATTCTTCTCTCCTGTCCCACCCTGTTTGTTTTCTTATGCGGTAGGCTACTGCAGAGTACAAAATCCTCCTTGTGTGTGTGTGGCCCTGGTAACAGTGCAGCATCGAGGCAGGTGCACCATGAGGTTTGTGCCCTTCAGGTGTGCAAATGCTCCAAAGTACCTGAGCCTGCTGCAGCTACAGTCTGTTCCAGATCCCCTCTCCAGGCACGCTCAGGGATCTACTCCAATGCCTCTTTCTCTCTGTGCAGAGCAGGCAGCAGTCAAGAGATCAAGTCACCCATTCAGACAAAAATACCTGCTGCTGAAGTGCTGGGTTTGTACAAGACTAAACTTATTTAAAGAATTTGCAATAATAGAAACTTCTGTGTGAGAATTTTTTCTTCAGGTATGGACTTGTCAAAAATGGCGCCTGTCTTTTCATTATATGCACAGCTCCATGTCAGTCTCTTAAGAGTCTGTGCAAGCAAACCAGAGATTTGCAGCTTGAAATATTACACAGCCATTAATCTCTTGATGCTGCTACTGCCCTAGATATTGTTTTTTACCCAACAGCACAGGTGGAGACCTCCTAAATTGTTACTCAGAGACTGATTGTATTGGGCTGTTCCACTGGAAGTGATTTATTTTTAAATAGCAATTTATCCAAATGTTGGTTTCCTTTAGTAACACAAAAGACGGCCGAAGTGGCTCAGTTTAGGTTATTTCCTCTTAGTTACTTAATATCCCATCCTTTTCAGGATCCCATAAAATGTCTTTCAGTGTTGAGTAGCTGCAGTAGGGTGTTGGATTTGGCGTTGGAGCACTAGTACAGCAGGGTGGGAAGGAGCCGTGCAGGCGAGCATCAAGCATGCTCTTTGTAACCTGTACCAAGACCCTGCCCACCCACATGCAGCCACTTGTGAATACTTGACCTTGTTGTTTGTTAATACACTGTAAATATCTAAGAGAACACATCCCCTGATTCTCCCTTTCTGAAGAACGGTGATGCTAAATTAGTGAGATGTTGGACACAAATCAACTACGAAGGGAGTTTTTAATCTGGTAAACAGCCAGGGCTTCTGTGGAGCATATTGGAACCTGCAGAATTTGGCGGGAGCGTGAAATCCTAAAATGAATAAATAATTGAATTGCACAGTAGTCACTAGCGAGAATGTTGCATCCAAAGCAAAAGCAACGTATCAGTTAACTGAAAGAAGAAGAGGGAGGAGGCGAGATTTTGGCTGGGGGAGGTCCTTGCATTATTTCTTTCCTCTTGCGGCACGCTCATCTTTGATCCTGTGGTGTAAAGCACTTTCGCTGTTCTTCTTCCTTCCCTGCTGCAGAAGACGATGTGAAGTTTGTGTGTCTCGGCAGAGGATTCCTTTCCCAAGGGTTTGTATTTTGGGACTTTGGTTCTAGCGCTTGAACATTTAATCTCTGGAACAGTATAATCTTCAGAGCTATGCTATAGGAAAATCACACCATTTGTTCTGCAGGTATCCTTTGGTAGTGCTTTTCTGTGTCAAGCGAGCTGCTGCTTGCATTAGTCTCTCTCTTTTTTCCCTACCCCTGAGCATTTTTCTGAGCTGTTTTCCTGGCTGAATATTTAAGCACAAATTGGGGGCAGAGTGAGCTAAAAAATATTCACAGGAACACGGACAGGGAATACGTTCTGCTTTTAGCCAGTGCCTTTAGATTATATTACAAGTTAACTTCCAGGGGAGTTACTGTGAAGTTGTCTAATGCAGTAAGAGGTTAGCTACAAACTTCATCTGCAGAGAGATGCAGAAAATACCCGCGCTGTGTATTGCTGGTGTAGTTTATACCAGCTGGCTTGGGTGCATGCAGGTGCTTACCTGCATTATTTAATTTCAGTGCTTGCAGGGTGTATTAGTCCTTTCTCTTGAGTTCTTCCCCAGCACTGCTGACTTACTTTCCTAATCTTCCGCCAATCTTTAACTTCTCTCATTGCTCTTTTTAATCTAACTTTGATTTGAGATCACCCCTGTCACTGATGCTCTGCAAGGCTGCACTGGCAGTAGTGTTCTGTGCCACTGGTGTGGCGCAGATGTGCACAGCTGTGTCGTAAGGTCACGGTCACAAACTGAACCAGCTCCACCATCAACTGGTTGCCATTTGGGATTTTGTTTGCTGCTGCTTTTGGTTTAGAAAGCTGTCCTAGAGTTTCATTTCCCCTTTCCATTCTAAATGTATTCGTACCTGTCTGTTCAAACAGCATGTTTCCCTTAGGCCTTAAAAAGCTCTTTTTTCCCAGTTGTAAACACTCCTGATGATTTATCTGGAAGGAAGTACGTCTCTTTTTTTTTTTTTTTTTTTTTTTTTTTTTTTTTTTTTTAAACTTTAATTTGATGAAGTGTCTGTAATTTGCTTTTTATTTTGCTTGGTTTTACTTGAGTGCTGGACTGGACTAGGAGGGTACCCAGTATTGCAGACAGGGTCTAGTTACAGCAGTGTCAGGACTTACTTATCTTTACTGGTATCTCACCTGGGTGATGCTAGGGTTGCCTTTGCTTGGCTCATGCTGACGGATGTTGTCATTTCAGGACTGACTGGTATTCCCAGGTTGCTTTCTCTCCTGTTGCTGTTTCCACCTGGTGACTTCTCATTTCGCGCCAGAAATTGTCCCTGGTTCCATCCCAAGTTGTGCTGGGGTGCCGAGTGCAGAAGCCATGTCCACATCTAACCATGAGGTGTATTTTTATTTTTAATGTAGTGTGTCCAGACATACCTGATTTGCAGTAATCAGATTAGGGATTTGGACTGGCAGCCTTCTGAGTGTTTCTCTCATTGTGTGTAATGTGATTAGAGGGGAGATGTGACAATGTAAAGCTCACGGAAATGAAATTGGATTGCTGGTGGCTATCGCAGACCTTTGCCTGGTAATAGGTCTTGTATCACCTAACATAATTTCTTTGTTAAACATGTCCCCAATAAAATGCATAACTGTCAATTAAGAGTCGTACGGTAATCTGGTCCTTTAGTATATACAATTTAAAACGGGGCCTGAGATATTTTTGCCTCTTGTATGACTGCAATTGAGAAGAGACCTTGAGTTCTTCCCTCTTACCTTACAGATAAGAAATGTTCCTTTATGATGAGCACTTGTCCCCATGCACTATCTCAATCAGATTAGGCTGCCTTTCTGGCAAGAATGTTTTGGGTGGTGCAGCTGTACGATGATGTAAAGCTCAGAGGGACACACCTCCTTTAAATTGTCCTGTTTGCTTTGCTGTGTGTTCTCTGTAGTCAGAGTGCAGGACCATGAGGATGCTCTAGCAGTTTATCCAGAAGCAGTAGTTCTCAGTGGCTTAGAGTATTTTCTCTTGCAGTAGCAGTAGAGAAACCATATTCTGTTTAGGAAAGCGCTTCTTTTTTTTTTTTTTTTTCCCTGTTTTTCAGGGTCCCACTTTTCTACGTGCCTTTTTGAATATCTCTGTAGTAAAGATGTCTCACAATCACCACATGAACAGCTCCATGCTGCAAACCACGCATCCTCCTGAACATGACCACACAATGGCAGCCCCAGGACATGGTCATGGATCTGGCATGATGATGATGGTAAGTGAAAAAGTCATAATTAACCAGAGAGCTTTTCCTTGTCTGTGGTTCAGAGTAACTTGTCATCTTAAAGACTATGCTTTTAATAATTGGAAATTAAACTTTGCTTTGGAAGGCATGAATTAATCCACTTAAAACACAGACCCCATTGTGGCTCTGCTGGAATGAAGGAGTGGCATGAGGTGAAATGCAACACGAAATGTATTTCAAAGCTGGAGATCCTTTGGCAAAATGCTCTTTTCTTGAAAAAATCTTTCTAGCAGCCAGCCCGGTGTCTGCTCTCTAGCCAGCTAAAGGCAGAAATGCAAAGTAAGCATTTTCCTGCAAGAAACGGAGATGGATGGAGTTCTCCAGGCTGTTAGTGTTCGCAAAAGCCTTAACCGGCACCCAGAGGATTGCACACTAGTATGATGGATTGTGCTGACCTTCAGGTGACCAACCTCTGTGCCCTTTTCCTCCTGAACTTTAAGTATGCACTTGGTCTGGGGAGCAAAGTGCTACCAGTGCTCTTTGCCACGTTGGCGTTAAGGCTGTGGTGGTCCCGAATCCTGCTGCTCTAGCTAACTTTGATTGAAACAAGTTCACACTTGTGCGTGCTGGCATCACTGAAGCTTTGCAGAGACCCTGGCCAGAGTTTCTATGGAGATGACCGTAGGATCTGTGTTTGGGTGTAGGCAGTTCTAGGGACTTTTTCAGCTTTTTCTCCCTTTTCTAAATACCTTTGGAGTGAGTTTCAGATTATTAAAACATGGGTCTCTATGGTTAAACTTTGAGAGGAGGGGAGAGAGTGTGCATTTCCGTTTCAAATGAGAACATACTCAGGAGTGTATTTTGCAAGCTTTCAGTTAAAAGTTTGCCTGCACCTGTGTGCCCTGAAGAAGAAATTGAGCATCACTGCTTCCACTTACATTGCAAACAGTATCACAGCAGAAGAGAGGACTAGAACAGCCTTCCCCTTTGTGAACATGGCCCAGTACAAAGCTCAGTAGTGCTGGCGGAACTTGCAGTCCAGCATTGTCACTGTTGTCCTTGTGAAGCTCTTTATATAATCTAACAGCTAAGTATTGGCGTTCTCTCGTCCGTTACTTTCCATATACATGCCATTTCTTTACAAGTGTCAAGTGCTCTTACCTTCAGTGGGTAGTTACAGGACCCTGCCTTACTCTGTAAGGATAATAATTGCCCAAGATGTTGAATTAACATTGCACATAAAACTGCCAGGGAAGGAAGTAAATAGGTACAGCATCTTAGATAATAGGCTGAACACATTTTAATGTATGCGTGTTCCCATTCCTCACTTGCACCAAGGAATGGGCTCTTGTTTCAGCTGTGGTTTGTGGCACTAGGCTGTAACACTCTTTGGTTTGTCTGGTTTTTGTTTTAAATGTAAAAATGATAGTAATTTCTGTTCTGGGGGTAATGAATGAATGCTGATACTTATGGATGCTGAAATTAATCATAATTCTGATCTTTGGCAAATAACCTTAATTAAGCAATGTGGGGAGTTCAAAGAGAAGTTCCTCTGGCTTAGCAAGTACTTTATCCGTGAAAACACTGTACGCAGCTGTGATCAAGACATGCTAAACTGCAATGTATTTACCTGGATGGGAAGATTATATGAACTCCAGCTGGCCGGGGGATTGTTGATGTCTCCGCACAGCATTCACTATACAGGTTCAGGAGCCCTTATTTTCACCCAGTGGAAGCTGTGGTCCTGCTTTATATATAATATTCCTTGTTGTACCTGTATTTAAGCCACTCTTTCAATAGGATATTAGGAGGTTCTGTAGGGAGACAATAATCCCCTGGCATGGTGCAGGATGGGACCAGAGAATTCAGCTATAGAAGCCCTTATCCGTGTGAGCTCATATGAGGTCAGGCTGGGGAGAAGAAAGTGTCCTGTACCCCAGCCCCTGAGTAGTCACAAGAAGGTGAGGATGAGCTCCACAGAGACATCCCCAACCCCTGACTACTCTGATGCTGAGGAGAAAACGAGCTGCAAAAGCAAGGAGAAGGCACTTTTCTCTAGCAGGGGCTGTGAAGGATGGTGCCTTCTGCCCGGGGGCACTGCTTAAAAGAGCTGCCCACTTGAATTGGAACCTGGAGCATCTTTAGCCATGTCTCGCTTGTGTGTGTTACACTAGATTTACTGAAGAGTTTCTTCGAGTCTGTCTGGTAACCAACTGAAATGATCTAAGTTCTTGTCATAATACAAAAACCTTTGCGAAATCTTGTTGTGAGCTCCGTCTCAGGGTGAACTGTTCAGGCTCATCTTGATGTTCTTAATGTTTTGGGCAGGCAATGACTTTCTACTTCAGCTATGAGAATGTGCCATTGCTGTTTTCTGGACTTACAATCAATACTCCTGGAGGTTAGTAAGACTGTCTTGTCCAGTCTAAACAAAAAGTCTGCTGTTGATTCATGTTTCAGGAATTACTTTGCTATTTATGCCAAAATATGCAGGCACGCTGCATCGAGTCTATTTTGCAAGGCATCTGTGGGGTGAAAGAAAAATGGAGATGTTTGCGTAGTTCGAGAATTTGACTGATCTTATTAGCAAAAGCAATTGCTCGTTTCACTTCAGGGGTGAAATTCCAATTAGTGTATGGATGAAATTCACGTTTACCAACTGTACCTGCATGCACACAGTGCCCAGCCGTAGCCTGTGCGGTGTGATGCGGTTCTTGAATTGCACAGTGTCTCTTCTGACATGTTTTGACGCAAACGTCTGGTTGCACAGATACAGTAATGTTTCCTCTCTTGTCAGAAATGGCTGGTGCTTTTGTGGCGGTCTTCTTCCTGGCCATGTTTTATGAAGGCCTTAAGATTGCCCGAGAGTGTCTGCTCCGTAAATCCCAAGTCAGCATTCGCTACAACTCCATGCCGGTGCCAGGTCCCAATGGCACTATCTTGATGGAGACGCACAAAACTGTTGGGTAAGAATTTCACTTAATTCTAAGACAGATTTCTTCAGCAGCTGACAAAGGTGAAAACTGGGACAGAAAAAACTTTATGCAGCCAGTATTACTCTCTGCAGAGTATATCGACTCCAGATTGGGACACTGCTTGACACTGGAGGATGCTGCGTTTGAGGATGCTGTGTTTGAGTCCCTTGGCCACCCTTTAGGATGGGGAACAAAAGCAGGAAAGCAGCAAGGAGACGGATAAGCTTGTTTTTTTTCCAGAGCAGTAATGAACACATTTGGGGAGTTCCCAGGAACAGAATTTGGGTGTTACAGCCAGCAACCGTGGTAGAAAATACTTAGGATCCTTCTGTTGACAGTTAGTCAAAGCCTCCCCTCAGAAAAGAAGCCATTCTGCTTACTGAATGTGCCTGTAAAGTAAGCTTGTAGAAGTCTGTTTCTCAGCAAAAAGCTTTGTCCTCCCAGCAAGTACCGTGCTTTCCTTGTTAGCAGTCAGGTCTGTGGGGAAAGGCACAGTTACAAGTGACAGATGCATGCAGAAGCCTATGTCCAGCCTGCTTTGCTATCTTCTCTGACATTTCATGCCCATTTTGGCATATCCTGTCAGCCTAAGACCTAAGTTTTCTCTTTGGAGATGTGCATTTTCCCGCCTGGGTCTCATGGATGCTGACTGTTCTTCGGGTTTTGTGTTCTCAGGCAGCAGATGCTGAGCTTCCCTCACCTCCTGCAGACTGTACTGCACATCATTCAAGTTGTGGTCAGTTACTTCCTCATGCTGATCTTCATGACGTACAACGGATACCTCTGCATAGCTGTGGCGGCAGGGGCAGGGACGGGCTATTTCTTCTTCAGCTGGAAAAAGGCAGTTGTTGTGGATATCACGGAGCACTGCCATTAACGCTGGATGCTGCCCAGAAGCCTCTCCACCCCACTGCTCTGTTGACGTGGAGCCATCATGAGGACTGGATCGTTCCTAAGCTGAAAGAGAAACAATATAAAGAAAATCAACTGGAGGTCACCACAAGTTCCTAGCTGGGGTGTAGGGATGTGAGGAGCTGGGGTATGCTGCTCCCCTTGCTGAAGGCTGGCAGGGTTGACTCTTGAGGGTCCCATGGTAGCCATTCTTGGCTAGGATTTGCTTTATTCTTAGATTATGCCGTGATTGAAATTAGTTGGCTGACAGAAATGTAGAAATTATTCTTTAAAAAAACAAAATCAAAACATTTTATTTTTAAATTTAAATGCTCATCTGTGAGGGTTTTATGAACCATCGGTAAAGATCAAAGTTGCCAATGGAGCCTACGTGTGTGAATGGCTATTTTAATTTTACTCTTTTCAATATGTACATAATGCCAGAGGAGGAGGAGATCTCCCTGGCATTGTGGCTTTTGGGGCCAATGACACCTTCTGTTGCAGAAGGACTCAGCCTCTGAGGGAGACTTGGTGCTGCACATCAGACACGCTCAGGTGTGTCCTGGCAAGGGAGTGCTTTGATGTAAGCTTGTGACTCAGGCTTCAGGGGGGCTGAATGAGTCTGTCCTCCACGCCCATCAGAGCACAATGAGTGCTGTTAATTTTCAGATGTATCCAGTAGCTTTGCTGAGCTTCAAGTGATAGCATTTGGATTTGGCTGCTTTCACTTCCCAATCATGGACATATACGGAGTAGACGCAGGACAACAATTGCCTCTTTACAGGGCAAAAAGATTTTAAATAACCATCGAACCTGCATTTACTTGCATCTGGGTGGATCCAGAGCTAGGCTTCTGGTTTACTGAAACTACTTCTGTAAATGAGGCAAGAGCTAAGTAACGATTTCACGACACTAAAGGTTAAAATGTCTGAAGAGGGCATTCCCTGAAGTAAGTAAAACAAACCGTGTTCCTGTAAAGGAAAGATCTGGGGAAAAGAATAAAGAAAATATAGGACTACAGCAGCCTTCGGTCTCTTCTCCGGTGAAATTTGGAGCAGCTTGGGCGATCAAAAAGTATTCCTGACCCAGATGGCTCCTCTTTGTCTTAATAATCATGCTGTGACCAAGTGTAGCTTGGAGGTGCAGGAGTTATCAGAGCCAATGGTGAACAAGTGTTGTGGTGCAGTAAAGAACTTCCCGTTCTATGCCTTTCCTAGGCAAGACAGGCTGTGACACAGGTGCTCTGGGGTTTGTAGGCAGCAGTTTTGGTGTAGCACTTCATTATTAAACTGCTTCTTGTTGTAGGGAATGTTGTGCAGAGCATGGTGCGAAGCTGGAGTCTTCGTTCTACTCGGGGTGCCTGGTTTGTGCCAGTAACAGGCTGAAAGGGACAACAGTGGGATTTTCAGAAGGGCACCGAAAACCAGGCACTGCTTTCAGACTGGGGCTGGCATCTGGCGTGTGCCACGAGAACAGGGAATCTTTCAAAGCGAAAGTATCTGGGCCTGTGCAGCAGCAGTTTTTTCTCCGAAGATGCTACTAGCTGCACTGTTAGCAGTAGCTACGCAAGGAAAGCTGATCTTTGAAGAGGAATTACATTTCTGTAGCCCATAAGCCTTACAGGGCGAGGCCCGTCCCTGCGTATGCGGGTGCTTCACTGTGTTCATGCTCCTACAGCAGCACAGAGCCCACCCTCGCCCTACCACCCTCTTTGAAAAGCAGCGGGAAATCTGTTCCTGCTGCTACCGGGATCTTGAATTGCACCACTGAAGCCAACTGTCCTGGGTTGATGCCAGGTATTTATTTGGACATCGTGTTTTCTTTGGGCAGTGCAAGTGCAGAACAAAAGGAGATGAGTTAAAAGCAGGCTCAGGCTTCTGAAGAGCTGCAAGTTTGCATCTGGATGAAAGAGGCAAAGTTATTTTCATGGAAAAATTCTAGCCACCTCCTGATGAGAGGCAGGAAAAGCTCTTCGCCAGTCTGGTCTTTGAAGGCAGTTATGTCTGTAACAGACTGCAGAAGGACCTACCGATGCCCTCTCTCTGCACCTATCATGAAGGTGCAAACTGAAAATCCCCTATGCTCTCTAAGCAATCCTGCCTCTGTGAGAGCAGAAAACAGACCCTTCCGGTCCCCATGGGAGAGCTGTGAGGAACTGAAGGGCTTGTCAGAGAAGACTGAAGCAGTGAAGTGCTGGAGATGGTTGTTTATATTTTGAATGGTTTACACTGCAGGGGCTTGATCCCTGAAGGAGTTCAGAGCCGACGTTGCCAACACAGCTCAGGTTGGTTTCTCTTTAAGGAGATGGAGTCATTGCCATTGCGGGGATGTCCGATTGTAGGGTATAGTCATGAGTGGCTTTGCATGATGACACTAGTTCCTTCATAAACGTTTTGCTGTGTCTTTCTCTAAAATAGAACCTCTGCTTGGCCTGATATTGCTCTTGCCTTTTAGCCACCTTTCCTTGTATTCAAGTGACCAGACTTGAATTGTCCAATTCAGGTGGCAGAGATGAATGACTTGGAGATTAGCCAAAAGCAGTGGCTCTTACAATATAAATTTGGTTCTCTCGTTAGCTTTTTTGCCTCATTCTACATGTAGCACCTGTGCCCTTGAAGTTGTTTCCCCCCTGAGGATGAGTACCTCTGCCTCCAAAGGGTCATCTCCTGTCCTTGCTCACACAGGGGAGGACACACAGCTTTCTCCAGGGCGCAGAGAGGGAAGGGACGCTGACCTGGGGAGTGGGAACCTGGGCAGAAGTCTCCCAAGCCTCTGGCAAGTGCCCCAGCTACCTTCCAGCAGCCTGTAAGAACGATGGTTTGAGCATCGGGCAGTTCCCCAGTTAGAAATTGGGAGCCCAGGCTGGGCTCTGAGGGGGTGTGCACAAGGGAAGATCTGAAGAGAAGGTGGTTCAGGAAAGAAGATGGAGGGCTGCGTCCTCTCTGCGGCTGAGCTTGCCGATAGAGCAAGGCACGGCTGAGAGGGGACGTTTCCAGACTGTGTCTCCCTGCCAGCTTTGGCCGTGCTTTCTTGTGGTTCGATGTTGACAATCCAGAGAAGCCACCTACCTTCCTGTGTCCCAGCCTCCCCCTGGTCCACCAGAAGCCACTGGCTGACACGTTCTTGGCCCAGGTTGCTGTTGGCTTTGCCAGAGTCTGGGCAAAACCTGGCCTCCCTACTGCTGACTCCTGCTGACTGCTCTTGGTGCAGTCCCAGCCTTTCTGCTGGGATTTCAGGTTGTCCTGATAACACTAAACTTGCATTAAGCAGCGCTTGGAGGGAGGTGAAGACTCGAATGATTACAAGACTTGAGTAAATGAAATTTGTATGTCAATGCACGTGTCGCACACTTGGAACGTGATGTCCTGCATCTGCCTCTCTACCCTGATGTTTGTTCTCCACACGCTGTGCCTCTGGATTATCATCCTGGAAGAAGTGTACAAACTACCCGGGCTGTGTTCATCAGCCGGCTTTTGTTGTTTTTCTTTGAGTGCCTTTTCAGTTTGTCTGGAGCCAGTCCCACCAAATCCAGCAGGATTTCTAGTTTTGTTTACAGTGGACTGTCCTTTTTGTTTTTACTCTTGCTCTTCGTGGAGGTAACTTGTATAATGTAACTGTGAATATCAAGAATCTCCTGTATATAATTAACCAATAAAATAGATTGCATTTTACTGTGGTGGATGTGTTTGTTGGGAACAATCCTCAGCACAGAGTCCGCAGCTGACGCTGAGGCTGGTGACTCTTTCTGCACCATTCAGAAAGCGACTCCAAGAGTAAGTGCCCGCTTTTGTTGCAGCCAGGCAACACCAGCCTGGCCGTCCCCAGGCCCATTACTCCAGCACAACCCTTCTGTGCCTGCCAGGAAGGTGTGAGTGAGCAGCAGGGACCATGTCCATCTCTGGGCAGCTGGGGATGGGCATGAGGAGCAGCGTCCTCTGCGCCTGCCCCAGCCACCAGCAATTAGCCCCAAAGCTTCTGGAATAGGAAGGCGGGAAGGTGCCGATGCCCCAGTCGCTATTGGTTTTGGACCAGGTACACTTTGCAGAGCGTGGGGAACACCAAGGTGGAAAGAGGAATTGGCGCCTCCCAGATCTGCTTTCCCCTACAGGGGGAGGAGCCAAAGGAGGGGAGTTTTGGGGAGCTGTGATGATGAGCCCCCTCAGGGCATGGAAGGTGTTGGTGTATGGCAAGGAATATCAGGCTCCCTCAAAGCCTTACTCCAGACTCTATCCATCCACGCAAGACAAATGAGGGGCCGGGTGGGATTTTCTTCCCCTTGTGCAGCCAAAAGATGTCTGGAACCTACCAAGGTGTTCCCTGTCAGACCTGGGGCTGGGAGCACCCGAACAGCAGAGCAATCCCTGGTAATTTTATGTGCTGTTGATCGGAGAAGCAGCTCTGCTCCAGGCCAGAGTGGCTCTTTCCAGTTTGAAAAGTTTTAAATTCCGTACATTCCCCCATCCTGACCTGAAATGTGATGCACCTACAACACGGGAAGCACAAATTTAACAAGGTTTGGAGCACTGCTTGAGACACTGAAAAAACATAACGTTGTGCTGGAACATAGAATCATAGAATCACAGAATCGTTTAAGTTGGAGAAGCCCTTTAAGATCACCAAGCCCAACCCTTCCCCTAACCCTGCCATCCCACCACTAAACCCTGGCCCTAAGCACCTC